AATCTAGCCAATAACAGAACAATACTTTTGAAGTTCTGACAGAAAATTATGTTCAATCTAGAATTCTATTCCCAGTTTAACAGATAAAAATATTTTCACACATGGAATTACTCATAATTTATCTCCCATACATCTTCTCTTAGCATGTACCCCAGCAAAACAAGGCAGAAAAACAAGAAAGAGGAATATATGGGAAATAGAAATATAATACAGGCAAGTGGTAGAATGTCAGCTGAGCAGTGCTTCTATGTAAAGCACAAGTTGATAGAGGGCATCAGGAGGAGGTTAAGTATGATAAAAGGAGATTCTAGAAATTTGATACTATCTTTTTTTTTATCCTCACCCGAGGACATTTTTCCATTTTTTGTTCAGGTAGAGTGGGAGGGAGAGAGAGAGAGAAACATCGATGTGAAAGGAACACATCGAGTGGCTGCCACCCGCGCAACCGACCAGGGCCGGGGACAAACTGCAACCGAGGTACGCCCCCTTAGCGGGAACCGAACCCGGGTCTCTCAGAACCGCAGGCCGACGCTCTAACCGCTGAGCCAAACCAGCCAGGGCGATACTATCTTTTTTTTTTTTTTAATCCTCATCCGAGGACTTTTTTCCATTTTTTGTACAGACAGAGTAGGAGGGAGAGAGAGGAAGAGAGAGAGAGGGAAACATCGATGTGAAAGGGACACATCGAGTGGCTGCCACCCGCACGACCAACCAGGGCTGGGGACAAACTGCAACCGCGGTACATGCCCTTAGCGGGAACCGAACCCGGGTCTCTAAGGACCGCAGGCCGACGCTCTAACCGCTGAGCCAAACCGGCCAGGGCGATACTATCTTTAAGAATGGAAAAATTAAATGAACACATGGGACTACATCAAACTCAAAAGCTTCTGCACAGCGAAAGATAAAATCATCAAAACGGAAAGGCTACCCACTGTATGGGAGAGCATAATTGCCTATGATATATCAGATAAGGGGTTAATTTCCAATACATATAGAGTGCTCATACAACTCCACAAAAGGAAGACAAAGAATCCAATTAAAAAATGGGCAGACGAACTAAATAAACACCTCTCCAAACAGGACATACAAATGGCTAAGAAACATATGAAGAAATGCTCATCATCACTAATCATCAGAGAGATTCAAATCAAAACAACAATGAGGTATCACCTCACACCTGTCAGAATGGCCGCCATCAACAAATCATCAAACAACAAGTGTTGGCGAGGGTGTGGAGAAAAGGGGACTCTAGTACACTGCTGGTGGGAATGCAGACTGGTGCAGCCACTATGGAAAACAATATGGTGTCACCTCAAAAATTAAAAATTGATCTTCCATTTGACCCAGTGATCCCACTACTAGGAATATACCCTAAGAAGCATAAAACACAAATAAGAAAGGATATATGTACCCCCATGTTTGTAGCAGCACTATTTACAATCGCTAAGATCTGGAAACAGCCCAAGTGCCCATCAGTAGACGAATGGATCAAAAAGCTGTGGTACATATACACAATGGAGTACTACGCAGCGGTAAGAAAGAAAGATCTCTTATCCTTTGAGACTACATGGAGGGACCTGGAAAGTATCATCCTAAGTGAAACAAGCCAAACAGAGAAAGACAAATTTCATATGATCTCACTTATTTGTGGAATATAATGAACATAACAGTTTGAGGAATGGGGTACTCCCAGAGATGCGGAAGCGGGGTACAGACTGACAATCCCCTAAGGAGTGGGGAGGTGGGGGAGGGATGAACCACAGATCTTATACGCATGTATGCATGAACAGTGGACATGGACAACAATCTGGGGAAGGGGCAGGGAGGGGAGAGGGAAGGGGGAATCAGTGGGGGAAAAAAGGAGAATCATCTGTAACAAAAATTAAAAAAAAAAAAAAAAAAAAAGAATGGAAAAATTAAGGAAGTTTAAAAATATATATATATATAGATAGCCCTGGCTGGTTTGACTGAGCAGTTGGAGTGTCAGCCCTCAGACCAGAGTCATGGGTTCAATTCCAGTCAAGGGCACGTACCTCAGTTGCGCTTCGGTCCCCAGCCCTGGTCAGGATCGTGTGGGAAGCAACCAATCAATGTGTCTCTCTTACATCAATGTTTCTCTCGCTATTCCTCTCTCTCTCTCTCTATCCTTCCCTCTCTAACTGAAGATAAATGAAAAAGTATCCTCAGGTGAGGATTTAAAAAAATAATAATAATACCAAATAATACCAAAAAATACCAAAGAATACAACTGAGAACTTTGATATGGGGAGGTAATGTCACCCTATTTTAACTTTAGAGAACTACCTTCCTTCCCATCCCAAATACATGTGATTCCAATGGGGCTGACCTCCCATCCACCCCCAACAGTGGGCATATTGCCAGGTTCTAACTATTCTAATCTAATTCTCTCCACCTTGCCATACTGACTTAGTCAGAAATAAGCACAGCCTAGAATCAGTACTGATGGGAGGAGGGGGAAAGAAGGAGGATCCTGAAAATAAAACTAAAAGAAGGAAAGCAGACATAGTAAAAGATCAATTCTTTAAAGCAAAGTTTGAGCACCTGGATCCAATCCTACCCCATCCTCCTGAACTCTAAGTTCTAGGGGGAAAAAAATTCATTTTTCACTTAAATTATGATTGAGTTGGTTTTCTAACACTCACAAGGATCCCTTACTAAAAGACTCCTCTTTCAAAGCAGGAAGTCAAAAGTTAGTGAAATAAAATAAATACACAGTATTTACCAAGGTGATCAGAGAACTAAAAATAATGATGTATCAGAAAGAAGATGGAGAATGCAGTAGTGGTGGTGGGAAATAATTCTTCATGGATCTCTATGTCTCGAAAGCAAGGCACTGTCTACTCTTTGTTCTGAACCATATTTTCAAGGATGTTCACATAGCAGTGCTGGAAGATAAAAAAATGCCTTCCTCCAGAGAAGGTACTTACTATCTCTCTCTCTGGAGATGGAGCGAAGGATAACATTATAAAATATTTAAAATCCCTAAACTCAGAGTTTCCTCCAGTAGCAAAACCTATTAAGTGAACAGGTATTATCTGGCCCTCTCTGCAGGACCCTGTGGAAACTGAGGCTCAGGACATTGACACAAATGAAGGCTGATACTCTGGCTACTGTTATTGCTCTGAGCAGCACTGTACATCTCTGCCTCTGGGCCTTCTACCAACACAAGAGTCTGTGTCTTCTACCAGCATCCATAAAACTGTGACAGTCTAACTTGCTAGCTTCAAGTAGAGAGTAAAATCTCAGATCCTTTACAATTCTTGACAGGTGGTAAATGGGAGCTAAATCTTTAATTGCAGAAAGTCAATAGATAATGTTTAAAACTGACAAATCAAGAAATGGAAGTGTAAACATATTAACATGGGGGATTATCACTAGAAGAATCACACATAGAAACAACTGCACTGGTTCCCCTGGGAGAGGGAAGTAAGGTGGGGAGGTGTAGATGGGACAAAGGGATTACTGTTTTCATCATAAACTCTTCTGAACAATTACATTCCCCCCCCCCCCCCCACCACCCATGAACATGTATTTGAGAAAGAAGTGCTTGCTGGCTACTTCAAAGGCAAAAAAAGAAGTGTACAAGAAAAAATTTTTTTCAGTATTTTCATCCCACTAAAATTGGATGTGAGTACATCAAGAAAAGTACCTTAAAAAAAAAGAAAAGTACCTAAGTAAGTATGGTGTTCTCATCATGAAAACAGTCTCAATGTATCACCAAAAAAAGTACTCGTCTTCCTTTGGAGAATTTTTTTTAAAATAAAATGATTCTAATAGTCATGTACACAATAGTGTCCTATAACTTCTCCTACACAAAGGACATTACTGGCTTCAGCAAGTAAATATGCATCCTTACACATGATTTCCTGCAACTGGAGATTCTAATTTACCCCACTAAATCACCATTGTTTTAAAACTGAAATTAAAATTAATTTATGATACTGAAGATAATCAGGTACTGTCTTTGATTATTTAGGACACAGTAGAAATATTTTCTATGGCAGGGAGAAAATATGCCATTTTACAAGTGAAAAATAGACAAATAGCTCATTAAGATACAAAAAGTAATTCACATTAAAGAATCAGAATTTTCTAATCAAAATTTGAAATTCAAGTAATTTTGTATGGTAGGCAGTGAATGACTGTTTCCATTAGTAAAATTTTATGCAAATTATAGGAAGTTTTTCTCTCAAAAATTTAGAAGAGTAGTAAAATCTACCTACTGTCTACCCCTCTATTCCTCCACTAAATTATAGTTCCTACATAGCCACATTATAACTTTTGCTTTCCCACTGAATCTAATTCTTAGGGAAGATGAAGGAAAAGCATATGAATTCTGCCCCAGGGATAAGCTAAACTGCTCATGAGCTAAACTATAAACTGAGTCTAAGTAAGAAGATCTGGTTAGGAGCCAGCTCTAGTTTTATTTAAAGTATACTTGATTATTTGCCCTGGCCAGAGCGGCTCAGTGGCTGGAGCGATGGCCCATGCACCTAGGGAACAGGGGTTCAATTCCTGGTCAGGGGCACATGCCTGGGTTGCAGGTTTGATCCTGGCCACAGCTGGGGCGCATGCAGGAGGCAACCAATCACTGTGTCTCTCTCACATTGATGTTTCTTTCTCCCCCCACCCCTCTCTCTCCCTTCCACTCTCTAGAAATCAATGGGAAAAAAATATCCTCAGGTGAGAATTAAAAAATAAAATAAAAAGAAAAATAAATAAAATATACTTTAATTTAGCATTGATTAACTTCAACATAATTTTACTACTTCAATCACAATGGCCTCATTCAATCTACTTTAGTCATGGAAAGCTAGAACAAATAAAAGATATACGGTCTCTTTGTGACATCAGAGTTCCACTAAGTTGTTTCTGATTTTTCATCTCTAGGTGCTCTTCACTAAGAAGGCATTTTGTGTAGGGAAGTTCCTCTATAGATCAAACTGCTTAGGTTTGCTTTCCAGCTCCAACACACTTACTTGGCTAGGCAAGCTGCTTAACCTCTAAGACTCAGTTTTCTGTAAGACAAAAGGAACAATCTTGCCTCAACTGATTGTTATAAAGATTAAAAATGATAATACACAAAAATGTGTAGCATAAGGGAAGGAAGGAAGGAAGGAAGGAAGGAAGGAAGGAAGGAAGGAAGGAAGGAAGATTGTCACCCCTCACTTTGTGGAAAGCCATCTCCAATAAGAAAGAGATGTTCCATCTGCACACACTGAAACACACTCAACCCTAGAGACTCTTTCTCATTTAACTAAACCACCACAGAAGGCTATGAGAAGCAACTTCACCAAAAAGATGTTAGAGGCTTGAGGCAGATTATGTATTTTATCAAAGCCAAAACTCAGTTCCTTTTCCACCAGGAGAATATCGAGTCCTTAAACTTTGTCCAGCTTTGTTTGCCTTGGTATCATTATGGAACACAGTTGTCTCCAAAAGCAAACTTTTAAAATAGAAATATTTTTAAATACTTATTTATAAAATGTAAATTATTTTATAGCCTACTTTCTCATGTTACTTTCTTTCCTACTTTCATTCATTCAACAAATGTTTGTTGAGCATCTATGAGGCACTTAGAATACAGTGAATAAATAGTTCAAGCCCTCAAAGAACTAATAATAATAACACTGTGGTGATAAAAATAAAAAAATTGGCAGTTAGAAAATAGCCACAGGGATGTAAACTACACCTTAGAGAATATAGTCAGTAGTATTGTAATAACTATATATTGTGTCAGGTGGGTGTAAGACTTACTGGGGGATCATTTTATAAGTTATATAAATGTCTAGCCACTATGCTGTATACCTGAAACTAATACAATATCAAATGTCAACTGTAATTGAAACATTAAAAAAAAATTTTTTTTAAGGAACCAAATGGAATATAGCTGCTAATTAATTTCTTTTTTTCCAATTAAGTTGAAGGGTACTTCAAGATTAGTTGAAAACATGGGTTCAAAAGGGAAAGGGATTAAGATGTTCAAATTGCCAGTCATAAAAATAGCCACAGGGATGTAAAGTACAGCATAGAGAATATAGTCAATAATACTGTAATAACTAAGTATGGTGTAAGATGGGTACTAGATTTATCGGGTAGATCAGTTTGTAAGTTATATAAATGTCTAATCACTATGTTGTACACCTGAAACTAAGATATCATATGTCAACTGTAACAGAATAAAATTATTTAATTAAAGATTAGTTGAAAACACATTTCTAAGGAATGTACATGATAAAGAATGTATGTGAGAGAAAACAAAGGACCTAAAAAAAATTAATGCATTTTAACTTTATGCCTTAATCGACTTTTTAATCGAGAGAGCAACTCCTGAAAAACACATTACTTGCTTGTCTTCCTGTTAGTTCACTGTGAGGTATTTATGGGTAGATGGGTTTCTCTTTTAATCTTAACCATCAATCTCCTCCCCTTAGGATTGGACAAAGTAAAGTGAAAATGCTGTAATATGCCTCACCCAATTACATTAGCTGGTTGTGTAGTCCATGTTTTCAAGGCATCTTAAGCTAGGGCAGAAGTACTTCCTCTTCTCTCTCTACTTAAATGCCTTATCAGGCACATTAGAGCCACCCTATGTCATCATGTTTTACCTATGGCATTAGCAAATACAAAAAACAGTGTCAACAAAGATGTGAAATAACAGGTATACGGTCAAACTGCAAATATTCTTTGACCCAGAAGTTTCACTTTTAGAAGTTTATTCCACAAGACAACCTATGAACAAGGTCATTCACTGCAGCATTGTTTCTAATAGAAAGATAGTCAAGACTCCACTACTCAACCTCCCTTGCACTCAGATGTGACACTAAGTTCTGGCTAACATGACATGATTGGAAATGTTATGAAGTGGCAGTTTCTAGAAATCTTCCTGTAAAAAAGGGAGGGTGGTGCTGGCATGTAACCTTTGCCCCTTCCTGCACCCTGTAGCTTTGAATGGGTCGCAAAAGCTGGAGATCCAGCTAGGTCAATGAGGATGCAAGCAACACACAGTGGAGCAGTAACAGTACAGAAAGAGCCCAGGCATTTGGGGGTAGAGGGGTTATGAAGACAGATTAGAGAGCTCCCTCTAACCTGCAGCCTTTGTTCTGTGCCATTAACAAAACTCATCAAACTGTCTGCTTAGTATCTGTGCATTTCGTTGTATTCATTATGCCTCAAAACAAAAAAAGAGAAAGCAATACCTCAAGTACTACTGTACACCAGCCCTAGACCACCTATCTGAACTTAAGACTTTGTTGTTCAACCCACTGTTGGTTTAGTTTGTTGTTGTTTTTTTAATCACTGATACTTTCTCCACACTACTATATTTGAAAAAACCACGATAGAGTGAAGCCGCGAAAGTTGAAGCGCGAAGTGGCGAGAGATGACTATATACCAATATGTAAAGAATGACATAATTAATTGAAAAAGGCAAGATAAGAGTATGTAGAATACGCTACCATTTATGGTTTGTTTTTTAAGGTAGGAAGAATAGTACTGATTACCTCCAATAAGAGGAAAAGTGTGCCTGAGAAACAGAAGAGAAAAAACTCACTTTTTTTTTTTAATCCTCACCTGAGGACATACTTAGAGACAGGCAGGGAGGGAGAGGGAGAGAGAGGGAGAGAGAGAGAGACATCGATGTGAGAGAGAAATGTCAATCAGTTAGTTACCTTCCAAATGCTCCCCACTCCAGCCAGGGGAGAAAACTCACTGTTTGCACCTTTTGCCTTTTGAACCATGTGAACACACTACCTATTCGAAAGAAAATAAATGTCCTTTAATCCCACTAAATATTCCATCTAATCTTTTCAAATTTTGATGTATGAATATTTTAATGATTTGAAGACTTATACTGCCTTTTGTTTCAAGATGAACTAATTACCCCAAGAACCACTAGACATATATGACAAAAGAATAAAAAAATGTTCCAAGGGTGGGGGGGAAGGGAATGAGAGTGTTGAGAACTCTTCTTTCAAGGAAAAAAGTCAAGAAAACATTTAATCAAAAAGAGAAGCATTGGAGTTATTCTACTGATATAAATATAACCTTTTAATTTCTCATTATCGGCTTTAGTGAAGAACAAAAGCAGCTAGCTAAACCAAAATGGCCAACAAGGGTTTTCTTTGCCTAGCTGAAGGAATCATACAAAAGGTTCTTTTTCTCATTAGCAGAGTGTAGGTTATAAAGAGTTACAACAAGTAACGTAAAAGTCTGTTATTCATATTAATAATTGAAAAGAGAATTTCTTAGAAATTTATCAAATTGACCTTAAGTGGTTTTCTTTTCTTAACACTATTTTAAAATCTGCATATATAAACCCTGTTACCTTTTTCATGGTATAAGCAATATAACAAAAGCATTACTAAAAATCTGCTGCACTCTTAAATAGACTGTTTAATTTTGTGTTGGTTGGCCAAGTCTTGGTCTGTACATACATGTACCTTTACATATGATAAATATGATTTTTGTGTATGATTAGTATATATATTTTATTCCACTTTCTCATACTTATTTCTATCTAATAATTAAATTGCACAAAATAAAAAATGTTCACTTTAGAAATATCCGTAAAATTTTGGATATTAATTTTTAAAAGGTTACTCAGTAAGAAAGTCTTTTTTCACAACAATGACAGATGATGACTATCCAGATGCTAGAGTAGAGGCCAACCTTCTACTGATCCATTTCCATTACAAATAACCTGTTAAGTGATAAATATAAACATTAAAACCCAGAAAGGAGATATCATTTATATCCTCTGGCTAATAACATTATGTACAAACATCTCATTGTTTCTAACAGGGTTGGAGGGTTTTAAAATAAATCTCTAGCCCTACAGAAATTCCTAGTCACTAGCGTATAAATTTCATTTGGGACCTCTGAATACATGTGAGCACAGACAATAATCATTAACCCCTTCAAAGTAAATGCTCCTAAAGGTAAAGACTACATTTTCCAATGCAGTTCTTTGTGTTATCCTATAAAGTAGAATTTCAGCAACATAGACTACATGAACATTCAAGTGCAGAACTGGCACACAATTAACATTTGGTGAATGAATGAACACTAACAGTTTAGAAACAATACAGTGCACATGGAAATAAAATTAAAATTAAGCTTTACTTCTCTGAATAATCTGTCTACACTATAAGCATACAATACAAATGGCAAATTTCTTAAAGAAAACTGAGTAATCATACTGAGGGTCATTGATGAAGGCTTGACATAGTTTTCTTCTAAAGGGGAAAAAACCTATCTGCCAAGTACATTATACCACAAACAGAGAGCAGACTGACAGCTACAGTGGGGAAAGTTGGGGGCTGGGGGGGTAAGAAAAAACTCATGGACATGGACAACAGTGTGGGGATTGCCAGGGAAGGGGGGGGGGGCAGGTGGAGGAGGGCACAGGGGGGATAAATGTCGATGGAAGGAGACTTGACTTTGGGTGGTGAACACACAGTACAGTGTACAGATGACGTGTTGTGGAATTGTGCACCTGAAACCTATATAATTTTGTTAACCAGTGTCACCCCAATAAATTCAATAAAAAGGAAAAAAATGGCCCTGGCCGGTTTTGCTCAGCAGTTAGAGCATCGGCCTGCGGTCCAGAGAGACCCGGGTTCGGTTCCCGTTAAGGGCACGTACCTCGGTTGCAGTTTGTCCCCGGCCCTGGTTGGGTCATGTGGGTGGCAACCACTCAATGTGTCCCTTTCACATCAATGTTTCTCTCTCTGTCCCTCCCACTATCTCTGAACAAAATATTGAAAAATGTCCTCAGGTGAGGATTTTAAAAAAAGGAAAAAAATGTATCACTATTACTTTAATAAACCAATAAGACTAACATGCTTTGCAAGTAGAAAGGTAGGAAATTATGCTCATTGTATTTTTTATATTGGGAAGGGAGAAGGTAAAGATTTTCTCCTAACTTCTCCTAAATGATAAAAAGGTGAAAAAAAGGACAAATCTAATTAATTGCATATGGTATTCTCCAAACATACTAAATACACAGCATAACACAAAAATAATAATTACTCATATTTGATTCTAATAAAGTTTTACTTGATTCTACAGGAAACAAAGATTAGTAACTGTAAGAACAGTTCTTAAGAGACTTACTCAAGAAGCCAAAATCTTAAGACTTTCAAGAGTTCCCACTGGTCAAGAGGTAACATGTTATTTAAATCAGATCCATTAAGCAAGAAAAAGATTCAACAAGTCCTTGGTAAAAGAAATAAACGCTTAGAAATACTAGGGACACATAAAACTGTTATATTTCAGTAGTGCAACAAATGACGTGGTAAAGAGATTTTAAACTCCAAAATTAATGACACCTTTTAAAAAGGCATGCTCCCCTTTTTATGTCCCTTAAAAGGAGGGAAAATCCATGAGACTTCCCTAAAGAAACAATTCTTACAAGAAGCTTTACAACTCCTAATTCTTCACTAAAAAGGATAATTAAAATTCAAGCAGGATAGACAAGGTAGATTCACAATATAAAACAAAATAACAGCCTGGCCAGTTTGGCTCAGCAGACCAATGAGTCGCAGGTTCGATTCCAGTCAAGGGCACATACCTCGGTTGCAATTCGTCCCCGGCCCTGATTGGGGTCGTGCGGGAGGCAGCCACACGATGTGTCTCTCTCACATCAATCTCTCAATCTCTCTCTCTCTCTCTCACCACCCCCCTCTGTCTGAACAAAAATGGAAAAATGTCCTCAGGTGAGGATAAAAAAAATAATAATAAAACAAGGCAACTACAATAAGAATCAAGCAATTTTTTGGTAATAAACACAAGAATATCTTTTGTTTTTTGTTTTTTTAATCCTCACCTGAGGATACTCTCCCAATTATCTTCAGATAGAGTGTGAGGGAAAGAGAAACATCAAACTGAGAAAGACATTTCAACTGGTTGCCTCCCACCACGACCAGGGCTAGTGATGGAATCACAACCGAGGTACATGCCCCTGACCGGAATCGAAACTGCAACTCTTTGGTCTGAGGGCCGACTCTCCAACTGCTGAGCCAAACCATCCAGGGCAACCCAAGAATATCTTCAATGACTAAGAAAATCTATAATACAGAGGCTAAACCATTAGATCAAATAAAGAACAGAGAAAATAAAATAATGCATTTTTTTAGATTCAGAAATAAAATGGTAACATGGTTTAAATTTTCACTTAAATTTCAAGATCATCGATTTTTTTAAATTCAGTAGTTCTAAAATGTCTAATACTATAATTTTTAAGTGTAAAAATATTTTATACTATTGCCTTAAAAATAAATAAATGCAACTAGAGTGTAAAGTTATGTTTTAATTTGAAGAAAAAGTTACAACCTCCTGCTAGTAAAATGAAATGTAAACTTTCTGGAAATGTTAATATTTATTTGGACTAAAAATAATCAATTAATATTTCCCAAAAAGGGGGAGGGGGATCTCACATGGTGTTAAACAACAAGACAAAAAATAAATTGTTAAATAAAGGCTGCTATTTGCCAAAGAATATATAAAGGAACTGTAAAATAGCGCTAAGATAAAAAGTGACAGAGGTTAACTTAGTATAGTGCCTGACATATGAAACATACTGCACTTTTTTTAGTAAATGAATAATAAATAAACAGGCCTTGAAATTCCACAAGTTAAAAATGATAGTGTATCATTAGTTTATTAAGCTAACTATGTAGCATGTTAAATAAAACGCAGGCAAATAAAATATCAAATGAAAGATAGGATTCCTATAACATAAAGTCTGTCTGCAGTATCCTGTCTGCAGTATCCCGAATAAGCTAAAGCATTGTGATGGTGGTAGAGCTCAAAGACTGCCTAACTACAGGCTAAGTTACTGGTGGGTAGAAAGTACGGAGAACCTCCAGAGAATAATTCTGATGACTGAACTTGAAATAAAATCTCTTGTCCTACTTTGGAAACAAGTTTACCTCTCCTGGTTCCTGGACAATAGAGCACATGTATCCTTTGAGACTTCCTTGTTAAACTCACATTTCACCTTCAGAAACTCCAGCTAATCAATAATTCCCTACTGTTGGTCCAAGAGTGATTTTACAGCTACAAATAAAACTACTTTATAATTTAATTTTTAAAATTTTCAAGACACGAATGAATATTTTAATACACAAACTCCTACAACTGAATCTGCTAGGTGTGCAAGTTAACCAGCAGAGGAGAAAACAAAACAGAATTTCAAAAAACTTAAAGCTACAAATTTAAACAGTCCAGGTATAACCCAGATATGTCCCTAAAGATAAGGGGGAAGAGCTAAGCCTTTAATTATGTGTCTACAATTTGGGGACATAAAATACAAAGCTTAGAATTTAGTAGGGGAGATAAGACTAATACTCAGGAAGCAATTAGCAATAAACAACAATATATAATGAAGTGCTAAGTGGCTGAGCACTCAATATATACCACAGGAGTTCAGAAAATGGAAAGATTGCAGAAGGATTGGGGAGTCCAAGGAGGTTTTACCGCAACAGGCTTCTTATAATGGATGGTTATATTTAGAGAAATAGAAAGAGGAAGGCAAGGCTGAGGAAACTGCCTAATTGAGCACCAGATTTGTTCCAGGCAGTCCCAGAGACATGATGGAGGAGGATGGGATGCACCATCTTACAGAAAGTCTTAAGAGCTATTTTTAAATGTGATGCCACAGAAACCTAGTGCAGGAGAGTAACATCCCAGTGGAATTTTTGTTCAATTAACCTGGAAACTGTATAAAAAGATTGAAGAGAGCAAATAAT